ATATCTACTATAATATGGAAGGATTTAGTGTTGTGATGATTTGTTATGGAATTACGAATTTTTAAACATCGCCCAACTTTCATGAATGAGAAGTAGTCAAAATCACTAATTTGGCCCCCAAGGGGACCCCCCCTGAAACTTTGCAAAAAAGCGCCGAGACACAAAACAAAATGTTTTTTGGAAATAACCTTAGGAGGGCACACTCACACACAAAGTTTGAAAGAAATCTATTTTTTCATCCAAAATGGTTATGAGGTTCTTACAGAGACAGCCTCTTAAGATTGACTTATTCGATGACTGATCACTATGGCATACATGCACTCTCTGCATTTTTTCAGCTTATTTCCATTTCTCCTTTAAACTCTTAGAGACTCAGATACTAGTAAACCGTGCCAACCAGGTACTGGTTTGAAGATTGGCTTTCATTAATGAATGTTCAAATCGAATATTGAATCAAGAACCCGAAAATAAAGCCATTTAATTTAAATAATGACCTCTACCTGTTCACCCGTAAGGTAGTTTGACTGTCAATATGGCAAATGCCTTTTGCATAATGATGTGTAGTCCTGCTGCATATTTAATTAGTTCGTTAGCAAAAATCTTCTCTGGAAGATTTCAAAGCGATAAAGGATATATTAAATGAAAACCGAGCTGATGTAAAAATAATTATAAGGCATGTGATTTTTCGCTTGCACATGCATGAGTTTTGAGAGAACCGTCCTTCTCATAGTCTCACGTTACCTGCTTAAGAACGTTTCTTAATAGTTTTAAGAAACGTTTAGAAGCATAACAAGATAAGAGGTACAAGATACGATTGTGAACCTTAAACTCAATAAGTCTACTCTTGAGGTTCCTCAAAAGTTTATTAGAATTGCATACAATCAAATTTCTGAACCATTATCTATTGTATTTAATTTATCTCTTCTTCAGAGGATTGCTCCAAATTCTCTGAAAATAGCAAAAATTACACCCATCGATAAAGGCGGGAACTCAACTGCATCTGAAAATTACCGTCTAATATCTATACTATAAACTTTTACACAATTTAAATGTTTGAAAAACGTGTACACAAACAACTAACTTGTTACATTGATAAGCATAAAATTCTGTTTGATTACCAATTTGGATTCAGAAAGGTCACTCCACCGCGCAAGCAGAATATATAGACAATCTAAAGAAGGCCATTGACAATAGTTTTTATACTATGGAGTCTTTGTAGACTTTTTAAAGGCATTTTAATTAAAATTGAAAACGTAAACCACCAAATATAAATGAAAAAAAGAAAAAAGAAAAATACGGTATCCGGGGTCTACCATTGTCATGGTTTAAAAACTATTTACATAATAGAAAACAATTTGGTGTCCTTGATGATATAGAATCAGAACAACAAACATGTGTGCTAGGCCCTCTTTTGTTTTTGATCTATGTAAACGACCTTCCAAAAAGTACAGATTAACTGCGGTTCAAAATCTTCGCTTATGATACAAATCTGTTTGCTTCTGCAAGAGACCTTAACTCATTAGCAAATATTGTGAACCAGGAGCCAGGAAAAATTAAGGAGTGGAGCGATGCAAGCTAATTATCGATAAACACAGCAAAAACAAGTTCTATGATAGTTAAATCTGTAAGGAAAAAAGATCATCAAAGCGATATAAAAATCCAAAAAAAAATTGGATTGGGAATAGACGGTAATGGACCAAACATTTTGTATTTTTATAAAAAATTTTCGTATTCAATTTTTTCATTTTCATATGTATGTAACCAAAATACCACAAAACATTTCAAAATGTTCAGTACAAACAGTTAAGAACGTAAAAAAAATAGGGTGTAGGTGCACTTTAATCAACTAAATCAGTTGAACAAAACCCATTTCCCGCACTTACTGCCGAAAAATGCAAGGACACATATACATACGACACAATTTCAACTGTTTTTGAGCAAACTATACGGACTTTTTATTCACGATTTTCAGAAGTATACATACAAATACGCCATAAACCATAGTAATTCTTAATTTGTCTGATATAAAGTGGTTGCTGTAGACTAGTGTTATTTCTAAGTTTATTTTATTTTTGTAAACATCGCTCATGAGTGTATTATCCGTATGCGACGTTACTACGTTTCTCTCCTTTTTTAACATAAATATCGCTTTTTCTGACTTACTCTTTCATTTAAAGTGGAGTTAAGCAGTAAAAACTTTATCAATCATTATTCGATTGTTTGAAATACCAGTAAACCGCACTAAAAATGTTTTCAAGTTAAACGCTATAAACTCTGTATTCTTTACTAGCGCTTGTCCTCTGAATTCAGTTGTCGAGGCGGTTGTCAACAAGGGCGAAATAGGTCTATACTTTTTAATTTAATCATGACAGATCCAGCTTCATTTTCCTTGATTAGCTCAGAACTCGTTATCGTTGTAGGTGATTTAAAGGGAGCTAATACTTATATAAAAAAGGGCTATTTTTTTTGATAAAACAACGTTCTATGTGGAGCACGGTTAATATTGTGAAACTTGTTAATGGCTGGTAAATGAATCCCCCTTTTATGTTTTGCAATCTGGCCGCTACGATATTTAAATTGGCAATTTAGAAAACTTAAATGAGGCTCTCTTCATTAACACCAAACCTTCTCGAAAAACAATTCTATAAATCTAATTTATATCCTAATTTTAAACAKAAATGTGAACTGGTGCAAGCCACTATCCACCAATCGTGCGTTCCATTAAAAATCTATTAGATCATTCAACAACGCAAAATTAGCAAATACAAACAAATATCCTTGTAATGTCTGTCTAACCCTAGCCTCACGCGCGCTTACATCCAATTAGAAGGCGAGATTCAAGATGGATAATTAGTTTTTAATCTTTCTACATTGTACAAAACCTGGAACTTCAGCCCCCTTGCTTTTGGTTAGCACGACAATGCGCTCATCAAAGGAGACATAAGCAAAGCAGTTTCAAATCTATCCGGCCCTATCAAGTCTGAAGTCTGAAGTCTGATATTATAAATCAGTAAATGAAAGTGAAGCCATTTGGAGTTAGCCTACAGCTAAAGACTGATTTATACCGCCAACTAATCTATATATAGTCAACCTAGAGGCGTTGAAATCTCCTGATAATTGGAACCTATTGTTTTGTCCCCCAGATTGGCGCTGCATTTCAAAGTCATGCAAGGGGTCTATTTTATTCTAGAATTATCATTAGCCTCTGTTCGTGCAACTATACACTTCTGATGGCTCAGTTTTTGCTCAAAAAACACGTGCGCAAGCTGTTTTCCTAAATGCTGATTATCTCTGACGAGTGTTGATTGCTTTTTTTTCACATTAGAAATCATTAAAGTCCACTTTGAAAAAAACGTATTAAAAAAGAAGTTATATTTTTTCAAAAGTAGCCAGTCCCATTAAAATAATTGAGATTAAACTATAAATGTGGTGTATAACGAAAGGGTTCCGTCTTTTGGATGGACTACGACAACCAAGAATGACGGTACTAGTCCTCTTGCTGACAGGCCTAATATTCGGCCTGGATGTACAACAGACTTCATGTAAGGAAATAATTCAGAGGAAAAAATGTTTTTGACTGATTGCAAGTAATACTGGATTTTGTAACTAAGGAATATATAAAGCGCGCGTGTCTTTGTGCTGTGGTATGAACACGCCGGGAGCTGTAGAGAAATGAAGAAGCAGGCTTAGGTGCAAAAGGCATAGCCGAGTGTTACTTTTTCTTTTCTATTGCTATATACCCTGAGCCCCTTGTTGTTCCCGTTTCTGTTTATTGTTCGCGACTCGACAAAAGCCGTTCTGCAATCAAGTGTAAATGCTCTACATCTCCCAGAGTATTTATATCGCAATACCTAGACATAAGGAGCCATTAAATAAAGCTTTTATAAAATAGTTTTTGGACAACTTTGAGCGAAGATGTCTCAGTCATATAAAATAAAGAAAGTACTCCACCAATCAGCACGCGTTATATAATATTTTAAAATTATATTTACAAATGGTTAGGCTTTCAAGTGGCTATGTTAAAATCAGTTGCGGTCCCATCTCCCCACACTTCATCATCACTAGTTAAATAATAGGAGGAACGTAAATCAAACACTGATGTCATGTTCGCGTGTACTTTTTCAAACTCATATACAATAATCGAATGATAGTCTTTTTTCTTAGGTTGCCCAGAAAACTGCACATGCAAGATTGATGACCTAGCAATTAGTAGCAAAAAAAGTTTCATAGCAGAATGTAAAGGGTTGCCATATGTGCCTCAAGTACCATCAAATGTAACTTTGTTGTAAGTCAATACAGTTAATTTTATCGTACATAATCATATTGCCCACTTAAGTTTTACGTTTTTAAAAATGACTATGGACTATGGAAGAACGGCAAATATACTGCTTTGAAATCCCGGAAGGGGGAGGGGGGGATGGGGGGAGATTTTGGTCCAATAAGACAAGGACAGGATGCTCCTCGTACCTTTTAGGGGACCCGATCTACAATTTGGTACCTAATAAAGGTTCACAAATTTAAAAAGACAACCAGATAGCAAGTAAGTATACCTCTTAGGGTGTTTCTGAGGTAATTGGATACCTGAGGTTGTATGATGACAGTCAGAATGGCAACTGTAATTCTACTATATCTTAGAACATAGATAATTACTTTTCTTAGGTTAAAACATACTCTACTTAAGGAATTCGTTGTCATTCTTGAAAAGTAATAATTGTAAATGCTACGAAATAGAACCGTTAACATTCAAATAATTCATCACCACAACACAAGAGATTGGGCTGCCTGTGGTTTTTGGGATGCTGTGTACTCAAAAAAAAATATATCTTACTCTTTCTCTTCGATTTTAAGAGCTTGCCATTCAGTAGGTACTCATCCAAATATGCTCAGATTCAGTAATAGTACTAATATTAGAATGATCTTTTTTGTGACGGAGGTCATTTCTTAATTAGGTTAATGCTTTCACTTCTTCCTTAACTCCGGAAAAGCTAACTGTGGTCAGTATATTGTTCTTGAGGTCCCGAAACGAATGAAACTTATTTTACCAATTACCTACGGACCATCAAAGCATCGTGCATATAATTGCGTAGTTAAATATAATAAAATGAGTTTGAATTTAACGAAAGAAAGTTAACGAAAGAAAAAGGATTTTTGAGGAACAAGAAAACTCAAATAAAATTAGACAGCTAACCTCGACACGTGTTTCCAAATAAATTAGATGTGTGACCTAACAAGAATCGTTGCGCTACCTCAAAAACAATAAAGTAATAAGAGCTTTATGTACAAGAAAGAAATAACATCAGGCGGCAGCTCGACTTCAAAAGGCGGACTAGTCTTCCTTGGTTGTCCATGCGAATGAGACAGGACACATATTCCATCGACTGGAACAGTGTAAAAATCCTATCAAAAGAGTCTAAATGGAATCAACGGAAGTGGTGGGAGTCATGCAGTATAGCAAAGGATAAGAACACCTTATTCAATCGAGATAGTGTTAGAATTTTGCAAGAAAATTATATTTGCTTGTTAGATGATTGATTATTATTATTATTTTATTATTATTATTATTATCTCTCTCTCTCTCTCTCTCTATATATATATATATATATATAATAGAGCCTTTTGCAAAAATTATGGCCGCTTCCAATATATATACATGTATATCAAAAGCATGTCAACTGATTATGGGATATCCTTCCTGATGTTTTCTTAGTTGTCTATCACTATGGCTTTGTGAAAAAAATATCAAGAAAGATATCCCGCCCTGTCTGATATACGTTCCATATACTTGTACTTGTATTTGAAACGGCCATGATTTTTGCAAATGGCTGTATATATATACATATATACACACGCACACACCGGATCGCTAAAACTGTGACATTCATTGATACGTATACATATATATGCATTCCACTTTTTCCTATTGTCTTTCCTAGAAAATCCAGGTAAGACTAGGAAAAAAGGGATACATATATATGTATATTCATTATATGGCAAGGTTATTTCACGCGCTATGATTGGTCAATTTGCGGTCCATGACTTACGGTACAGACCGAAAAATGAAATGGTTCACTGAGTGTACGTACTTATGATCTTTTAAAACATTCAAATCTTCATTGAAAAATATATTTCTAGGTGAAAATCGTCGGTAAACCTTCAATAGATCGGTTTCAGTCGCGTGATCATTTTTTGGGCAGCCGCCATATTGGTGTACATCACGTGTCATTACATTGTAAGAGAAAGTAGGTGAGAAGTCGCCGTGAGGATGGTTTTATGCTCGATTGTTGGCTGTGGGAACAGAAATGGTCGAGATAAAGGCATAAATTGTGCTAGACTCCCTCAAGTGGTCACTGACCAATGCGAAGACGCTCAAAAACTATCAGAATTGAGGAGAAAACTATGGATATCGGCGATAAGTAAAGCTGACCTCACAGTAACTTTCTTAAAACGAGATGGCCGAGTCTGTGGAAAAAAATTTCACCTCTAAACGTTCAGCAAAATCATGAGATCAATATAACCATGACTGGGTTCCCTCAATTCATCTGGGGCACAGCAAAAACTTGTCAGGGGAGAATCTAGAAACAACGCTAGAAGATACTTCCAAACGAGAAGAAAGAGTACGTAGTCTTGAGCGAGAGGCGAATTTGAGCGACTTACATTTTATTTATTTATTTATTTTTCTACATTTTTACATTTTTTAATTTTTAAATAAAGACCAGTGAGCAGCGCTACTGATGCGAGTTTTGAATGTAAACTACTTATTATAAATCGTTCATTCGTTGAGAGTGGCGAATTGCAGCCAACACTAGAAACTTGTTGCATATTTCATGCCCTTGCATGCTTGTGACAAATCCACTAACCAGCTATTTAAGAGCCTCTAGACTTCTAAAGATCTTGAACTGTTCCTCTGTATAGAAGCTTGTTTCAAGGAATAAATAACACAAAACACCCGCCGATTCGACTGGCGGGAGACAATCTGGTTCGAAGACTTTACCCTTCAGAAGAACGGGGTCAATTCCGCCCCTTTCAAATTTCTCCAAATATCGTGCTTTTACAGCAGAATCAATATTTTTGCGTACTCAGACAATGGAAGAGAACTTAAACGATCCTTAGACCTCTTTTGGATCTTTCAAAGATGTGGAATTTGAGCTTGATTCCATGAAGAAACTTACAACAATTACCCTTTTGGCTTCCGTTTGCATAGATGTACATGTGATTATGAAACCTGATATGTACACCAATATGGCGGCTGCAATGCGTGTGACGTCTAGTGAAATCAATCTATAAACAATTAATATATATTTAGGCACTGCCTAAAAGCGGATCTCCCGATACGTAATTAGGGAGCCAGGGAGCCCAATATGATTGAATCTGAAAGGTAAAAATATGATAGGGAAAAAAAATCTTCAATTATTTTTATTCGAGATGAAGATAGCGTATCCCATAATAAAAACCATGCATTGAAATCGAATCAAAATGCACTACATTGTTTTTTATGCGCGATTATACCATCCCACTTAGGAATTTTGAACACAACTCACCACCAGCCACCCCACGGGCTATTTTTGTTCTTTGAAGCAAGGGCACTGGGACACCGAATGTGGTTGGATTTCTATATGTTTTTTCCCCTTTCGATTATTTGAATTAAATTAACGTTATATACTTGTTTACTTATCTTGTGTCCATGTTCCTTCGTTGTCTTCGTTCGCTGTTGTAGTGCAGACGTTTTCATTCCAAAGGTCAAACGGTTTGAATAGCCTACGAGCGTTACTTCTTTAAAGGCCGTTCCGTACTTGACTCTGTTTGTACTATACCAACAACAACGCGACCGCGCGATGCTCCTTACGTCAGTAATATTCAACCGTCCAGAGTTAATATGGTTAATCAAAT